TGATAATTAAGTTTAATGTCGAGAGTAGACGAGGATATTGGTAGAATAATTTCATCAAAACTAAGATTTCTCTATTGTTGCTCTAATCTTTCAGTTGAACACCTCCCCGTGATCCCTATCACTCTGTTTATCTTTTTATCATGGATAGTTTTCCGATACGGCACTCCCAGTAAAGGGGAGGAATCCGAGCACAAGATTTATTGGAACGAGGCTTAGCTATGAATCTTCAGATCTTCAGGGACGAGCTAGATTTCTGTAGGGATTACACGTTTATTGATTGATAAGATTATTCTCCTGTGTTTTGGTAATGTGGAGATACCTTGTGAGAATATATCTATTTCGTGTTGTGTACTGGTTCGAATATTTTATCCATCAGAAATTTGAATGGGATGAATAACCAAGAGCTTGGATGCTTGGAATTTGGGCGCCATTGACGCAGCAAAATATCTGGTGTGACAGTAATCCAGGAGCTAGCAGGTTTCAATGAAGGGGTTGATTGAGGAACTAGAGAGTATGGAGTATGATAGCTTCTCACAACTTAGTAGAAGAGCTTGAGCGTTACAGTAATACCACGGCTAGGTTGTGTCTGACCTGATTCGATTAATTCTCTCAAGTAGATAAAAACAGCACGGCATGAAATGTTTCTGGAATGTTTGGGGAACGACGATCATTTTTTAGGCCAGGTGATTAGTGACCTAGAGTAGTACCAAAAAATGGATACTGTGGTCATATGGCTAGATTCGGGGAGGTTCTTTCGATCTTTTGGAGATGAGAATCAGAATGTTGGTGAGGGCTTTGGCTGACAAGAAGGGTGGCTAACCGAGCACATTAATGCCAAAGCGTGAAGACTTGCGGAATTAGCGAGGTTTCGTTCGCAGCAAGGACGAGCGATTGGCCTGTGTGATGTTGGCTCGCTCTTTCGCCACACAATCCTCAGTTGAGGGCGTCAGGCGTCCCAAATCGATCTCGGACATGGTGTGTTGGATTGGACTCAAGCCTGCCCTTAGTATCGTGTACCATTGACATGCAACAGGTCTACCAAGATTATTGTGAAAGTCTCACGCAGCCCAATATTTGGATGACGCTTTGTTTGCAAAATTCGAGGCATATATATCATTGATCGGAGCTTGCGTTGCGCTATCTCGTCCTGGCATAAAAACTTCGGCGCTATTAATAGATAGTTGTAGGAGATTGGGCTGATCTCTCTCGATGTGTTGTTATCTAGAAAAGGCCGGCACTTACTGAAGCTATTACGGGTTAGGTGCTGGATTTGCCTGTATGTTGGCGAGGAGATACTCCGACTGTTTGTCGAGGATGCAAAGAGAGCTGCTATTCATACTTACAGGCTGATGTCTGGCTGCGGTAGAGTTGAGCCCTAATATTTAGGGCATCTGTTCTACGATCCGTGCACTAAAGACAAGGCGGCGGAGACCCGGTACTTGGAGAGAAAGAATCGTGAGTGCTACTTGATCAGTGTGCGCGTCATGCTCATGGAAGTGATTTGGAGCTGCCACGATGAGAATAGCAGAGTTATTGTGGCACTCCATCTATCCTACAGAGTTGGAGGTTGCATCATGACATGCTATGAACGGCATGGCCATGTATGTCAAGGGCACCACACCTACCACCAGGATGAGATCGACGTTGATGGGAAAAGCAAAGCGGCAAGTTGTGCATCCATGTAGCCAGCGTGGTTAACATGCAAATCCTGCCGCGCCCATCAATGCCTGTTTTAGAGCGGTGGGAGGTGCCAGAACATTTGCTCGTTGTCCTGCACAGTTGAAGCAAAAAGAAACTTCTACCTCTGACCCCGACTCCAGCTTTGTATAGCATATGCCTTTGAACGGGACGAGTTCAGACCTCACGGCAGCTGCCAACGGGTTTAAGGGCCGTGGAGATTTCCAGCTTGAGCTGCACGGTCAAACGGCAGCTTGCATGAACAAATCCTCAAATCTCTCTCCATCTTCTCATCACTGGACAGAGTAGGAGGCGATTAATCAGTGCAAGAAAGCGCACAGCTACAAAACACCTGGCGACTCCGCGCGTGCACGAGGACTTGGGTTGCGGTAGACCCTTTCAACTCAGTTTTATCCGCCCTATGAGTTCTCAGCAAGTCGAGCGGTATGGTTCCTTGGCCACGAGTGGAAAAGGAGGTCGATGGCTTAGATTCAAGGCGACAATCAGTGACAAATTTCCTCTACCAAGACAATGCACAGCCGCAGACCTACAGTCACCACAGCTGTCACGCTTAGTCCTGATGTCTCGTTCGTAGCACGACTTCTCTTGGAAACCCCATTATGGTAGTGCCTTTCAAGCTTTCCGGCCCAAACTTTTTCCGGTCCGCATTCTCTGTTCGTCGTGCAAAAAATGCGCGGGGCGATGCCTTTGCAGACGTCCCTTGTAGTGCATCAAGCCAGAAATCTGCATCCCTAGAGACTCTCTTATTGGTCTCGCCATTCCGTAGCTGGGCCTGCCGAAAGATGTTGGTATGATTCTAGAGAAAAAAACAAATTTCCATCACTTTTGCCCTAATGCGTCCTCTACCGTTAAGGAATCTAGGTTCGGGAATGAGCACAGCGTCTTGAAAGTCCGAAAGATTTGTATTATCGGGGCCCACTCGCCATCAGACATCCAACGCCGTGAGGATCATCAGTTTATGCTAGTGGACCCGCCATGCCTGTGTCATGATAGCGATTAACCCATAAATACGCGCAGGGGATGGCTTTGATTTTCATGGGGTCCAGTTTAGCCTGGTTCTAGCCATCAAGCACAAGTCATAGATTCAGGAGATGCTGTGAGGGAGCATCTCTAATCTCTTCCGAGGCCCTTTTAGCTCTAGACTGTTCTAGTCACGCTCCAGAAAATCGATGAAACTCTACACATCCTGAAGTCTGTCATTACGTCCAGAAGACTGTCAGGCCCGTCCACGGGTTGCTTAAGTCTCTGTGGCCCAGTGCATAAAACAGTGTAGCTTGCTTCTTGTGACCGATTTCGGTCATCAAATATTAAAGGCGGCTTCGAGCTACAATCCTCCCGGTCGCATCAAATGTTGTGGTTAATTTTGCCATGTCAAATCCTTATGAATTCTGTTCTAAATTGGCTCTTCTGCGAAAAGTCTCACACTGTATCTACTGGCTAAGGTTTCTTGACCTGGCCAACCATTATCCTCACCGTCAACCCAATAGCCTATACTTGGAATATGAGTCCTACCCATCCAATCAACATGTGTTAATTTTTCGGTGGATTTAATCTTCCATGTTTATTGGTGCATTGCTTTTGTTTTGGTGTCACCGATTACAGCCAATCCTGTCTCAGCTTTGTGGCAGAATCCTTCACACTGCATGCTATATTTTACCAAACTCTATCAAACAATATCGCCACAGCCACTCGTCCTTTAATCAAGTATCCAATCATCCTTTGACTCTGATTACTTCCCCAACAAAATCTGTCGTCTGACACTATCATTCGACAGACGCCTTAGCTTATCGTCTTTGATCCCCAGCTATGCAACACTTATGCTGGCCTGAGATTTTAGGGTTATAAAGACTCGGTCTACCATTGCCAGAAAAATGGCTCAATAATCTAGTACACGACATGAAATCAATTTATGAAAACAAATTTCCTACTTTTCTCTAACAAAAACTTAGGAATAACGAAACCGCTGCTGTTACATGTAGTATCAGCCTGGCGCATCCAAATGAACAGTGAGCAATGCTGTAGGGAATCTACGATAGTGATAAAATTTAAATTCTCATTGTACCGAAATTCTTATCGAGTCTTATATGAATCTTCTTTCCTGTCAGAGGAAGACTTTTGGACTGCGAGAGATCGTTTCACCATATCTCAAGTTGAAACTTGTCATACCCCCTGATTATAGATCGCTACCATCGTAAACGCAGCCATGGTCCAAAGTAGTGCGAAGGAATTTCTGCGAAGATTACCCTCACGCTTTAGTAAATTTCACCTTCTAGAGGATGGAAATCTCGATTGAGGCCATTCGAGACATGGATCTGACTGTTAATTTCTAGCCAACTGTTTGTGCAGTAGTCGGTCGGATGCTGTACGTCGTTGGCTTATATATGGTGCAGACGGGTAGAAATGGTAAAAGGGAAAATGGGGTATGGCGAAGCCGACAGGTCAGAGCAGCAGCGATCTCCAATGCCCACCTTAACCCACCAAATAATGTGTAAGGTAGACTAGTCAAGACACTGAATCGACTTCAAGGCGGATGGGTCCAAAAGGAGATTATTCGTAGCCTGATATAAAGAATCTTTAATGTTGAGACAGATCTAGGGACGACCATGGTAAACACATTAACATTGCTGACGTTGTCACCAGTAGATAGCTTAACATCGGGTGACGGGAATGCGGAGTTTCTTATCGACTTGCAGCCGGGTCAAACCTCCCGCTCTACCTCCTTTTTCCTCTTCCGTCTCCACTGGTCTTTTGTGTCATTGATCCTCCAACCGGGTCTGCTCCTCTCCCCAAAATGTTTAGGGCGTGCGCTCCCGTACTGACTAAGCTCGACATTACCAGGGCCCCTAGTCAATAACCTGATATGCGTGACCTCTGACAAGCCCCTTGATAGTGTGGTCAAATATTGCTAGTCGTGACGGATTTCTTAGGTGACTGCCCGCAACACTGTGGTATTTTCGCAAAAAGACAGAAGAGTAATCTCACAGACCAGGCGAATATCGATTCAATCATTTTATTCCTCTCATCCTCTCTAAACATCTTTTAGAGCTAGGTTCGTCGCTATTCCCACTCGTTATCACTACCAAATTTACTAGCCTTTCCGACGTCAATTCACGAATTTAATCGTCCCCTCACCAAGCCTGCTGTTTCTTTTGAAACTCCTCGCAAAAACCTTAAACTTGCTGACGAAAACTTTCCAGAAATGTTAAACTTCGCGGGGGCAGCATATCTGTGACTAGATACTCAATAAAGCCCTGTGACCATTCGGGTCCTATTTGCATGATATTCCACGCCCAAGCTGGGAAATGTCGTTGAATGGCTTGGATCATCTTAAGGTCACAGAAGCCTATAATGCAGTGTCTTCAGAGCCAGGTGGGTGGTGAGTTACCACGGCCTAGGATTTGCAACGAATTAAATTGACAAAATCTCAAGGCTGCTCCTAAAATACGCCACACGAGACGAAATCGTGTTACTCGGACAAGGTAATGGAGGGATCACTGAGATACGAAATGCCATTGCCAATTATGAAGAGCCCTCGCCACTCTTTGGTTTCCTGCGATACCGTAGAAGAAATGTGGTCATTAAATACGTGCCAGAGGACTGTTCAAGGCTAATTCAAGGTGAGAAAATCCCACCAATTTCATAGGAAAGGCATGATCTTGGCTTAACATAACCTTTGTAGCACGCGCTACCGTACATATTAGCGCTATATCCGACCGATTCGTCCCGCATGAAACTGTCTTTTCTATCTCATCTCCGAAAGAACTTCGTGATTCAACTCTTTCGGCGGCATGCTCTCTCCACACGGCGTCTGCTTCAACGTCATCATCTTCAAGCTCATTGTATCGACAGAGGTTGATGGAAATCACCGAGGAAGAAGAAGAAGAAATTCGAGCTAAGCGTGAGTCTTGTTTCCCAAAAGAACCAAATGAGCCAGCTTCTACTTCAAAGGTCGAATCTGCCTCTGGTGGCTCATCTTCTTCGAAAGATACAGACTTGTTGTCAGAAGTACCACCCTATTCTGTGGGAACTACAGATTCGATCTCGTCTCGGAAAGCCGGCGAATCCGCTCCAGAATATTCCAATGGGTCTAGCAGTAGAGAGCCGCACATGACCATGCAGTCATCAAATTATGATAATCTCTACAGCTACAATGGCAGACTTAAGGTCAAACTGGGTCCGAGACCATCCGCCGACACGATGGGACGGCTATATACATCTGCAGCATCGCCCTATCGCCCTGTTTCCACTCTGCCCGCTGGACTACGGCACTATGCCAAAGGTTCTCGTGTCGAAAAAGACCAGTCGAAACCAATTTCTAACCCTGAAAACGCCAGCTCAGTGGTATCAAATCAGTCTTGTCCAATGTCTTCAGCTATCATCATCAACGCCACTACTGCTACTACAACACAAGAATTACCGCCAAGATCTAGCCCAAACGAAGAAAGACCGGCAACAAGTTCTAGCCTATCCATTAGGTCTATACCATCTCCTGCTCTCTCTACCAAATCAAAAGCGCCTATCATAGACCCAGCAAGAGCCCGGCTTCTACGGGCACAAGAGATACGCAAGCGAAGGCTTGAAGCAGCAAAAGAAGAAGTGGTCGAACCTGTAGTTGTCAAACTTGATCTACCTGAAATGACACCTCCTGCGTCTCCTAATATCATAGCTGAAAGTCTATCTGCAATGGCTGTACTAGATAGTTTAAACAGAGAAGAAGATACTAGATTGAATTTGTCGAGCCAACATACAAAGAGTGACGACTTCGATGATGCACGGTCAGATATATGTCCAACCTTCCATGCTGCTACCTCCATATCCGAAAAAACCGAATCAACCCCAGCTTCGTCTATTTCAGAATCAACAAAAGGAGCTGCAGAGGAAGAGCTTAGTATAGAACCACAGTACCACAGTCAGATGAATCAAACATTAAATGAGTCTGAGCTGGATGAAAGCAAAAGTCTTGATATAGGATTCCTCTCCAACTTTAGTTTTGATAATAGCATCGCTGATTCAGATCTTCCTCTGCTTTTACCGTCTGTGTATAACCCAGGCGGAATAAAAAATACTGAACCGGATTCCCTTCCAGAGAAACCCGGAAAGGAATGTAGAATATCGAGTGCAACATCGACTGAAGAAATACCTTCTGAATTCAATTATCAGATTTTAGACGATTCTAGCCCATCTTCACCCTCGGGCAACACTAGCTGTAGGTCATCGATGGAAGTATTTAATCCGGAAAGCTATAAACCCCAGCCGTCAGCAGAGAACATTACTAATATTCAGGGAGCAAACGGAGAAGATAGCTGGGATGTCCCCCGGTCTAAATTTAGCGTGCCAAGATCTAAGTTTAATGTTCAGACTCGAGACAGCACCTTCTTTATTCTTGGAATGTCTCCGAGAGAAATTCAGCCAAAAGATATCCCAAGGATAGAAAGCCCGCTGGGCAGGAAAAATTCTGTCCGTGACTTGACAATCGAAAAAGAAGATTCTTTAACTGAAGAAGCCAATCATGCCATCACAACTCAAGATAATCCTGGAGAGCCATCAGAATCTAAAATAAGCGTAGATAATCAGGACGATGATGGTGATTCTGACAGCAACTTTTCGTCTGATGACGAACTCATGGATGAGCTGCAGTCAGCAATTTTTGAGGATGCGAAACCGATTTCCGTTGCTAAGCGAGCACCCGTCAGTCCAGCTACCCCAAAATCTACCAACAGTAATAGCGAAACCAATGTACCAATACGTGCTTCTTCAAATCCTCTACAAAAAGGATCGCAGACTGATGGCGAGTTAAATTTACCTCCATGCACAGAAAACCCAAGGCCCCTATCTACATCATCTGTTATTCCTAACCAGTTTCATGCACAGCCATTGTCTATTGTAGCAAAAAAAGTTAACCTTGGATCAGGTATATCGCAGCGTATCAAAGCTTTAGAGAGACTCTCTGCTATAAAAAGTGATTCAAACATAAATATTGGCACAACAGCTGGGATACCAACTTTCTTTTCGGTTCGAAAAGCTAGCGTACGAGCTTCTTCCAAAACCTCAATCGACAACGCAAATCTAATGCATGGAAATACACGACCTCAATCACCAACTTTGCCGAAAATAGAGTGCGGCAGCAAGTCAGGTGGGATAGTGAACTATATAGAGAGATGTAACACTATCGAATGTAACCCATCCAAGCCCCGGCCGGTTCAGGAGTCAATTTCTGTCACTGCACATATCGTAAGAGACTCTCGGCCATCGAAGTTATCATCAGGAGATTCTTGTGATTCTGTGGAACATACTTCTCTAGTTTTGCAAGAATCACCATTGGTAATAGATCGTTATCCAACATTCTCATCGGAAGAGACACAACCCGAATCCCTTGGCTCATCTTCAGAAAAGCGATCTAGTTATTTGAGTCAAAAGGCATCTAAAACCCGTAGGTCTTCATTTACAGTATTGAAAGAACTGTTTAACGAGCGGCGAACGTCGACACCTGAAAGTCGTCGCTCAACCTCATATGAGACCCAAGGTCAATTACAACCCCCCAAACCGCCCTCTGCACATGCCACTAGAGGCCACGGTCGGAGTCATTCTCATGCTAGTCGTCCCTCTAATCACTGGGACAAGAAAAATTCACTCCCTCCTCTCCAGCCAAGCAGCTCAACATCATCTAGTAATAATGATCGAAGTGAAAAGAAAGGTAGTAGAGCTAGTCGAATGTTACAATTCATTTCATCTCCAAAAACTACTAACCGGAAAACAAATAATCAAATCAAGTCTCCATCGGTTCCTGAATCAGCCAAAATGGATGTAACTACTCAATCTGGACCTTCCAGGTGCCCAAATGATCTTGGTGCGGCAACTTTGATCGGTGATGTTAACGTTCAGTTTCCGGATACTCTACTGTGGAAACGCAAAACAATGTTTCTTGATTCACAGGGCTATCTGATTATGGCGCCTGCCATGTCAAACCACTCAAACACAACAGCGAAGGAAACTCGAAATATTGTTGCCTCAAGAAGATTCCACATGAACGAGTTTTGTGTGCCATTTGTGCCTGATGTTGAGACTGAGGAGCTTCCTAACAGTGTCATACTAAATTTTAGAGAGGGCGGGGAGGCCCTTCAGGTGGCTTGTGAAGATCGTACTGGTCAAAATCGAATATTAAGTGGTAGGTTACCCTAAAGATCTTCAAGTTACATTCGCTAACCCTATTAAGCCCTCATGCAAGCGCATCAAAATTGGACAATTTCGTGAAAAATTTTCCCTTCGGACGTCGCTCGAAGATCTAGAGATCTTTGCTCATAAATGCGGCTTACAGCCTCTTCAGAACCATCTCAGCCACTACTAGGGCTTCATAACAAATAGGACCTACCTATTAGCGTAACCTTAAAATACCAGATCTCTCGGTCCGTTTCCTTTTTTTTGTCCTTGTACTGTATTATGATAGAGATCGTTGGTTAGCGTGCAACGTTAATGGTGTCAATTGGCGGTTTATACCTCATGGGGCGTTATTTTTGGATTAGAAAGGCTCGGACTTTCTTTACAGATGTTAGTAAGGGGTTGGTGGGAATATAACTTGTAGCTCTTATTCAAGGTCAAAATATTTTCGCCTAGCGATGTTCCGATTTCGGCATTATTTATCCCACTCTTTAGGTACAGCTTAACCCACAATATTGGTCATTCGGCCCTTGCGAATTGTACGGTTAGCCAAATGTGTTTGTGACGACATACTAATAGGTCATAAATTTTCATACTACTCTTCAAGAACAGGTACTTTGGCGTTCTTTCTATCTTTGTAATTAAAATAAATTCTGATTTACTCTTATGATAATACTTACGTGGATTCGTGATCAGGCACCGGTCAAAATAAATTGCATGTGAAAAAGCTTTTGTCTGACGCAATTATATCTCAACACATAGCCTATCAAAGTATAGCAACAACAAGTCAGGAGCTTAGAGCATCATACACCTTCTATTCCGAATTTCCGGCATTCTGGCGATATTTTTGATTTATTTGATTCCATTCAGACAGTTTTGGTACTCGAAGAGCTTATGTGGGAATTAAAAGTTATATATGTTGTAGACAATTTGTTAGTAAGACCCTCATATCCCTTTCCATTTAGTGTCTATTAATTTCCTATTAGACCTTACAACTGCGGTTGCACTATAGTTTCTTCAATGAAGAACAGTCTTATATTTTCCATTATATTTAGCCACCATCCATCAGCATATCAACCGAATAGTCAATCTGGGACTTTTTTTCCAGACCTCTGCTCTACTTTGAGGACAAGGAGGTCAACAAAATATCATGAGGTCTGGATTTCATGATTGGTGGTAGCGTGGATACCCCGAGCTATTGACCTCTGATGCTTTCCCTCCATAAGAATAGAAGTTGATCCCCATGTGCTTAAATTGAAATTGAACTTCAGGACTGCCATAGATCCATGCCAGATTCTGTGTAGAGAATCTTGATCCAGAGATACACTTTTGGCAGTTTAAAGTGCTGACTCGTATAGAATCCTGCCGCTCGCTAGGCTTCATGATCTAGCACTACCAGATACCAACGCTCTGGATTTTGCTGTTAATTGGACCAGACTTTTGCCCAGTATTGGAACACCGCAACATTTTTCTCTTATTGGAAGTTGGTCCTCCTCTCATCAAAATCCACTCGGCTTCATCTAATCTTCTATTCTAGATACAACTATTTTACCTATCTCTTTCTGGCTACTTAATCTAACCACAAGCAGATTGTATTGTTCGCTGGACCGATAGTCTCGTTGGAAGATGCTGGGACTTTTTTATAGCTAAATAAATCTAAATATTTACTTGAAGATACATGTAATTTTCTCGGGAAATATTTATGATTTGAGTCAAGGCTTGCTGTTAGTGTACAGTTGGATTCACAGGACAACTAGCATGGCGCTGTAGATGAAAAGAAATCCGGTGGTGTAAAGGGAACCAAATTGATCATAAATGGCCTTGTCTTGCCTGTTAATTCTCCTGATGTGTTCCTACAACTAGCCTAAGGTAAAAGTTGAAATACGACCGTGAAGCAGGGCTAAGAGACCATTTGTGCTTCGACTCACCGTCTGCTCTGAAAAACATATAAAAATGGTGCTTCCTTTCATGCTATACGACTTGAATTCAGATATTTAGCTATATTGAAATATTATTATCTAATTCACATATAATCTCATTCGGCCCGAAGAACGTCTATACTATATATTTTGCTCGCAGTTACCGCTATCAAGGTTATATATACACATAATAGAGTCAACACTCACCCACGAGTATCTAGCAAAGAATGACTACGAAAGCACTCGGTATCCAGGCGCACCATCATTATTGTGGGTAAAATTACTGAGAGAAATATGGCAAAACTTTACCGAATTCGAACTAGCAATTGCCTGTCTTCAATAGGATAGGTGCTCAAGAAGCTTAGACCCTACCTGGAGAGGCATCGTGAGTATTGCACCACTATTTCATCTAACTCTCAAATATAGCTAGCTATAAATTGGAGAGCTTTGTTTCCAAGCGTAAAGTACACATGTAGGGAGTCTGAGAGGTTGACCAGAGTCCGTGATTACTATGTTGGAAATTCTGGCACTCGAATTTAGGACTCAACCATTATCTGTTTCGTCTGAGGTTCCCGACAACATCGACTTTCTCTACACATGTCCCGAGTGCGCTAATCGCGCCTTCTGTCGCATGTACGTTTGCATATTTACGTACTACAGTGTATCCTGGCTGGTCATCAATAGATTTGACAGGCACATGAGACTAGTGGGAATTTATCCCCTAAGATGTATATATAAGTCCAATGTTTCCAAATTTGTAAAATATCAAGTCTTCTTTACTTCATCATATATATCCATATAATATAGTACAAAGTATATTTTCCAACAATGTTTAAGGCAAACGTTCACTGCACGCAAGCAATACCATAACATAATTAATATTTTTCCATGGAAAAGACAGTTAAAATTGGGAGGTCAGGACTGAATACCTGTATGCGGTATCTTCTACGAATCTGGGAGTGAAATATTCTCCCAGAGCCAAGCTCAGTCAAATTTCGCAATAACAAAGAAGTTGGCCCACGAGGCAATGATTCAAAATACTCCGCCACGTCAATTTTTCATTCCCAACAAGATCGATTCCAACCGAAGCCTCATCAAGTCTACAAGTATCACCAAGCTCATCCTCATTTCAATGGCCGCACCTCTCATCGACTATTCTCAGGCCTTAGTTGGTCACTAAATATACTTCCACGACAATAAAAATACCTGTAAGATGAATTTAAACGCGGTGCACAAATCTGGGAGACAGTTCTTTTGGATGGAAGTTGGAGGAATCAGGACAAGTTCACAAGATGACACAGAGAATGGATACAATCTCGACGGGCGTGAAATTTGGAAATTTGGTAAAGAGTTTTACAAATTGAGCGTTGTGCGCGCCAAGATTTCGCCCGCGAGAGTGCAGCTCACTTTATAAAAACAAGCCAACAATGGAAGGTGTTGTGGTCCGCCTCCTGGTGGTGTTCTCCGGTACAGTTTGAGTAGCCTGTGCACCTACTCCACTTGGAAAGGAGATGCCTCAGACCACATTTCGCGCGGAGACAAATCAGTGGATGATGGAGGTATGTCTGGATAACTCGGGGTTTTTGAGACGTTCTCCTGGGTGGGTATTCACGGATGAGGGTTGACTTGGTGTGAAGAAAAAGCTACCATAACTTCGCAGTGGTACTTGCAAATGAAATCAGAGGCATGAGTGCTCTAACTTTCTATTGAGTCAGCTATTATGTACTTTTCTTTGATATTGTGTCATAGCTAGATAGCTGCACACGTAATTAAAATCTGATGCAAAAAAAACATGTACCCTGTCAATCATCCTACACAAGGTCTCCCTAGGGATCTTGCTCAGTGCGAAAGGCAGAGGCTTTTGCCATCCACGGATTGAATGCAAGGCTGGGCACGCCGGTCAGCCTAGACAACCAATAACAGGTAGTCACGGCACAGCTAGTTACGAACATGATATGACTAATATGATGAGATAAGGCTTGGACTTGATGAGCTCAAAGGCATAAAAAGTACGTCAATTTTCTCATTCTCCACATGCTAGGAATATCTGTGCCACGGGTAGTGATTTTCCGTGCCAGCCAGGCAGTGGAAATTATATTGTAAGCGGCTTTCATGCAATTGCTCGGCGGCGCAATTTATTGACCTTGGCGTGCGTGACTACCGGCCCACGATGAACAGGGAACTGGCTGGGTGGTATCCTGTTTCTAGCTCCTTCTCTCTCTCATAGGATGATATACGCTCTATTCTGCACATAATCACTGATCTCATATCATAGTTAGATAGCTGCATACGAAATTCTTTGGAACAAAAGTCTCCGAGTTACATAGTATGTCCTTGGCACTTTTACACGAGAGACCAAAAGAGTTGCAACCGAGATGTAAATGAATTTAATCTTCTATAATTATTATTGCGTCTCTCAAGAAAGATACGTGGGTCACGGTATTTCGTTGTAAATGTTGACTAGAGAGCACTACTGCTAAGAGGGTCATGTTGCCTGACTAGCTTAGATTACATGAGTAGGTGAAATATTATTCCTAGACAGTGTCGCTATTTTGAATGTATTCTATTGCTATTTCGTCCACGTGCGTATATCGTATTGTACCACCACAATTAAATTTTGATACAAGAGATGTAAAACACAACGCCTTGGGAAGTGGCCATCTGATGGTGCCCGGGCCATGCAGGTATTCTGGGAAACGAAGCAGCCGACGTGCTTGCCAAAGCCGCTTGTGCGGCTCCAGCTCTACACTCGGTATTCTCTATTGAGAGGGCAAGAAGGGAAGTCAAAGCCCAGTACGAGGCTTCTGTTGCACTTTACTGGGCAGAAAATTCTCCATCTAGTTATAAAGAATTAGGAATTGGTCCTAATACTAAGATTACTGCCGAGCTCGCCTGTCTAGGGCGACGCACACTAGGATATCTATTAGCTGCACGGTCTGTAGATGGCGATTTCGCAGACTACCACCGACGGTTTCAGCACGAAAACACCATTCTAACCTACTCATGCGGAGAAGAAAAGTCCCCCAACCACTTTTTCTATTGCCACCTCGGGCAATACCAGGCAGAGCTCCACAGAGCACAGAATCCTAGTCTCAGCATATCTTGGGCTCTCGCTTCCGCGGAGGGAGTTCACGCATTTAATAGCTGGGTGCATGTCACAAATTTCTTTGGAAAAGC